CATGCCCAAATTCTCACTTGGTCCTGGTGTACTTGTCCAGCCTCATTTGCAAATACTGCAGCCATAAGGCACATAGGCCACCGTTCGGCCCAAGAACCCCTTTTCCTCCTTCCTGGCTTGTGAGTGCCCCACGGCTCCTTCATCCCTCCCTCAAGCCCCACGTGACGCAGCTTCAAGCACACCTCTGGGATTCCTCCCCACTGCCCCCACACTTTCCTGGGCTTAACATGTCCTCTGCGGTCTCCAGGATTCACTATATCTCAATTGTTTCTCTCTACCCGTGTCCCCTACTGGCTTCGGAATCCCCCGCACCTGGGACAAGGCCTGGATCAAGATAAACCTAAAAAAAAAAAAAATGTTCTTGAATTCCCCCAAGGCCTTGGCTTTCTTGTATTAAGAATGGGGAGACTTCCGCCAAGATGGAGGCATAGGTGGAAGCTCTGTGCCTCCTCCCACAACCAAGTTTAAAATCAACAGAGTTTTAGCAACAAAAACGCAGTCAAAACCACAGAAAATTGAACTTCACGGAAGTCTGACAACAATGAACCCTTCAGCCAAACTGATAAACCAGTGAAGGAGGGAGCAGTGAGACAGACTGTGTAGGCCTCAGCTGCAGGAAGCGGCAGAGGGGTCCGCCATTGTCCCTCTCTGGCCCCGCCCCCACATAAAGCATCACAAACCAGTGACCTGGGTGGTCCCGCCCTGGTGAATAACTAAGGCTCCGCTCCTCAAATGTAACAGGCACGAACAGATCAAAACATGGCTCAAGAAGAACTTAGAGCCCCAGAGCCAATAAATCTAAGCAATGAAGAAATAGCCAAACTTTCAGATGCACAGTTCAAAACACTAGTGATCAGGATGCTCACAGGACTGGTTGATTTTAGTCACAAATTAGAGGAACATATGAAGGCTAAACTAATTGAAATGAAGGGAAATGCACAGGAAACCAATAGTAATAGAAAGAAAACGTGGACTCAAATCAATGGAGTGGACCAGAAAGAGGAAAAAAAATGATGAAACAGAAAAGAATGTAGAAACAAGGATTCAAAACAATGAGGAGAGGCTTAAGAACCTCCAGGACATCTTTAAACGTTCCAACATCAGAATTATAGGGGTGCCAGAAGGGGAAGAGGAACAGCCATGAGTGGAAAACTTATTGGAACAAATAATAAAGGAGAACTTTCCCAATCTGGCAAAGGAAATAGACTTCCAGGAAATCCAGGAAGCTCAGAGAGTCCCAAAGAAGTTGGACCCAAGAAGAAACACACCAAGGGACATCATAATTATATTAGCCAAGATTAAAATGAAGGAGAGAATCTTAGAAGCAGCAAGAGATAAGGGGACAGTCACCTACAAAGGAGTTCCCATCAGACTGTCAGCGGATTTCTCAAAAGAGACCTTACAGGCAAGAAGGGGCTGGAAAGAAGTATTCCAAGTCATGAAAGGCAAGGACCTACATCCAAGACTGATCTATCCAGTAAAGCTTTCATTTAGAATGGAAGGGCAGATAAAGTGCTTCTCACATAAGATCAAATTCAAGGAGTTCATCATCACCAAGCCCTTATTATATGAAATGTTAAAGGGACTTACCTAAGAAAAAGAAGATAAAAAAGATGAACAGTGAAAGGACAGCAAACTCACAGTTATTAACAACCACACCTAAAACAAAAGCAAAGTAAGAGGATTGCTAGATGAGGAGCAGAACCATAGAAATGGAGATCACTTGGAGGGTTAGCAACAGGGGAGTGGGAGAAGGAGAAGGGGGGAGAAGGCACAGAAAATAAGTAGCATAGATGGTAGGTAGAAAATAGATAGGGGGGAGGGCCAGAATAGAAGGGGAGATATAGAATCCAAAGAACTTGAGACACATGGTCATAAACCAAATGGGGGAATGGTGGGGGAGGGGGTGTGCAGGGTGGAGGGGAATGAAGGGGGGGAATAGAACAACTGTAATGGCATAATCAATAAAATATATTTAAAAAAAAAAAAAAAGAACGGGACCAGGAGTCAGACATTGATTCTTGAGGCCACCACTTAGAGATCGGACAGTCACTTTTTTCAAATCCTGTTTCCTTGTCAAATGGACATGATAATACAGTGGACTTGCCTAGGAAAGCCGTTTTGAGTATCAAATGAAACACTCTACCTTAAGTGTTTAGTACAATGCCTAGAACATTCTTCACTCCTTCAAACATTTGAATGTTTTTTATTTTAAGAAAAAAAAATTGCCGCCTTCACGCGGGGAAGCTGCATGAGCTGAAACCGAGGACTGCAGTTCTCAGGATGGCCACATGAGAGAAGTGGCGAGCAGCCTCCGGTCGGACTCTGGCTCCGCTGGCTCCGAGAAGGCACCTGCTGCGGAGCCAGATGGCCTAGCGGGGATTTCCTGGGCTTCCTTGCCCCTGAACAGGTGGGCGCTGGCCGGGGTGCCCCGGGAGAAGCCGCAGAGATGTGCTCATCCTCGATCCTCACAATTGTCCCTCCAGCTTGACCCCTTCTTGGTCTCAGAGGACTGGTGAGCCTGAGGGGACAAGAGTGGACATCAGCTGGGGTTTTATCCCCCCTGGGTTTGTCATTGGTTTTTGAAACCTGAGTGTGATCACTTCTTCTCTCTGGACGTTTTTAGAGTCATATTTATTGATGTTCTACCTTTGGCTTCTAGGTTTCACTATGCTTAGAAGAAAGTATTTTATTTCCAAGATTATTAAAACATTGAGTATATTTTCTTCTGGTACATTATGGTGTTATTTAAGTATACACTACACTGGGAATTTATTTCCCTGTAGAAAGAGGACACAGCTTTCTTTTATTTCCCCCAAATGGCTTGCCAGTTATTTCATCCATTTGTCGAAAGGCCTCTACCCCGCCCCCTGCCCCCCACTTACCTGAAGTGCTGTCTTCATCACGCACAGCAGTCCTTTGTGCAGCTGGCCATTTCTGTTCTCCACTGTGCCCCACTGACTCCCTTCGGCCTGCTTCAGTGCCGTACTGCTTTCAATACGTTGGCTTTATAATATACCTTAATGTCAGGTATGGTGAATCCTTGTCCATTACTTTTTTTTTAAGAATTTTAAATTTCTGAATGTTTATTCTTCTATATGAACTTAAGAATCAGCCTCTACCACTACCCACCCCCCAGCACTTCTGGAAGCCATTATGGAGCTTTGGAGCCCCTGAAATTTGGAGCCTGGGGAAGTGTCCATGTGCACATCTCTGCAGAGGGAAAGTCCAAGTTTTTATCAGGTGTGCGGAGGGCCATGATTCTCAAGGGAGCCCCTGGTTTACATGTGTTTGTGATAGGATGCCTGGGAGAAGCACAGCAAAGTCTTGGTTCCTCCCTTCTCTCCCACATCTTCACAGGCTTTGCTCTCCAGCTCTCCACATCCTTTACCCTCACCATTGTCCCAGCTATTCTCTGGCCCCCTTCCCCCAATAATCTAATCCTTCTTGCTGCTCCAGAGCAATCATTCTTCAACACAGGCCTGATGTGGACTGGATGATAACAAAAGTTTGGTTGATACTTGAATAGAGGTGTGAGTCCCAGTACCACTGCTGGCCAGCTGCGGCACCCAGCCTCGGGCTCTCCACATTGTTGGGTCTCAGTTTTCCTTTCTCACAGACCAGGTGAGAAAGGGTGAGATAGTGAGAAGTATGTAGAAGAGAGAGCTAGCTATCTCAGGAGGGTCATTTAATCCCAGTCATTTCCCTTTCCCCACACCTTTCCACTCCCCCTTCACATTTTAATCCATGCCTTCATCGGGGAATACTACTCGCCTTTCCGGCCTCCAGCAAACAATTAGGAAGGCAAATATTAATTTCGTCCTCTCTGTAAATGAGTAGAGTTAAGAACACTGGAGCCCAGAAGTGGAATTGACCAGCTGAGCAAGGTTAAAAATGGCAAGCCAGGCCCCAGACTGGTGTTCTCAGTGGATTGAGTGCCGGCCTGTGAACCAAAAGCTCCCCAGTTCAATTCCCAGTCAGAGCACATGCCTGGGTTGTGGACCAGGTCCTCAGTAGGGAGTGTGCTAGAAGCAACCCACACTGATGTTTCTCTCCTTCCCTTGCCCTCTCTATAAAAATAAATAAAATGGTAAGGTGAGGGCACCCTACGAGACACTTTATACAGCACCCTCAAGTTCCCAGCTGCCAGGGAACCCAGGACTCAGGGAGCCCACTTGGAAGTTCATCTAGGCGAATCCCAGGTCCTAGAGCAGGGCTTTCAGCCTTGGCATCATTGACGCTTTGGCCTGGTAAGTTTTTGGTGTGGGGCTGTTGTGTGCATTGCAGGATGTTTAGCAGCATGCCTCATCCCTTCTCACTAGATGCCAGTAGCAAGCCCCAGCTGTGGAAACCAAAGAGGTCTCTAGACATTGCCAAATGTTCCCAGAAGTGGAGGGGGGGGGGCAAAATCACCTCCAGTTGAAAAACATTGCTCTAGGGGAAGAAGAGAGGGTAGGGGAAAAAGGTTAACTTGGGTCTCAAAGCAGGAAACCCTACGACTTGACCCTTTGTCTGAAAGAGACACCATGAAGCCTCTTTCCTCATAGCAGGCACTTGGACAAGTCTTTTCCTTTCTGGGCTTCAGTTTTTCCATCTATATTCGATGTAAGTCATTTGCCCCTTCATCATCTGACATTCCTCCATCCGGTCCAGGGTGAAACAGGGGTACTGTGGTGCCATTGAGGCGCCCCAAAGGAAGGCTAAGAAAGAACAAATAGAGGCTGGGGAGCGGAGGTAAGGTAGGAGACAGGAAGGTCCTAGGGTTGTGAAGAAGTCTGAGGCATCTTCTAGATCCCACCCCCTCCGAGGCCTTATTAGCGTAGATCGCCCCCAATCTGGCAAACCCACGCTCTCCGGACTCCACCAGGCCCCGCCCACAATAAAAGACCCAGCCCTCCCGGTTCCGCCCACCTCACCGCCCCTCCTGCCTCCTGCCCCGCCCCCATAAGGCCCCGCCCCTATAAGACCCCGCCTCCCTCTTCACCTCCCGCCAGCCGGGGCTTGTGCTTTGCACCCCGCGGCGGCTGAGAACCTTGGCGGCTGCAGAGCCGGCAGCGCAGGCGGACGGAGCGGAGCTGCCCGGCCCGGTGACGGGCGATGCCCCCGTGAGCATCTCTCGCTGCCCCTCCCCGCCCCGCGCCCCTACCTCATCAGAGTCCACCGCCCGCCTGGGACCGGGCCGCGCCTACCGCCGGGTCCGCGGGGCGGGGTCCAGGGGCAGCACCTGCCCCGCCTTGCAGAGCCGCCTCGGCCAACGGAGACCCCTCCCTATCTGGACCCTGGCCCCACCCCAGGTAAGTCGGTAGGCCTTGTTCGCCCAGGAGCGGGCGTGGGAAGAGAGCTGCGGAGGTCTGAGGGACCACCCGGGAAGGGGAGGGGAGCTCGGGCCGGCAGGCGCCACGTAGGGATCTGAGCGTGCAGGGTCTGTGGGGCGGGAGCTGGGGCATGAGGGAAGACGAGCACAGTGTGTGATGGCTCTGGGGTGGGGGCTAAGGTATACGAAGGGAACATGGGATGTTTGGGGGAGCCAGGAAAACGGGGTAGAGGGCTCCAGAGTCTTGAGTGTTTTGCTGAAGCTCAGAGCATCTGGGGTCCTGGTCTTCAAAGGCATTGCCTCGCATGGCATTTTTGGAAAGTGCTTAAAATTCCTCCTGGAAAGAGAGCTGGAAGGCAGCCTGCCTTCCTCTGTCCTGCCTGTGCCCTGGTTGACAAGCGGCCACTCTTTCCTTCCAATGAGACACCATTGTGGTGCCTGGAAGACCCCCCCCCATTCTGTGAAAGAAAAGGGGTGATGCTCACTCCAGCCCTAGGGTGGAAAGAGGGGGGCTTCTGGGAAGCTTGGAGAAGCTGTTGGTCAACCCATGGTGGGGAGTATAGGGTTTGGGGAAGCTTGGCAAGATCCTTAGTGAGCAAGCTGGGCACCCTTTCATTCAGGCGAGGTGTCTGCACTGGCTGGCCTCCAGGTTGCTGGACTCATGTCCAGATCACTTTCTCTGGACAGCCCAGCCTTGAGGAGTGGGTTTCTTCCCAGTATGCTGGACCCAGAAACCCCATGAGGGCTCATGGCTCCTGCGGTTCTGGATGAGGTGGGCAGTGCTGTACCCAAGGCCAGAGAACAAGGGGTGCTGGCTGGCACTGCCACCTGGGGGCTGCTCGGATGTGGTCCTATGGGGCTGGGGAGCCTAGGGGAATGTCAGCATTTAACCCCTGCTCCTGGGGTGTTTCTGGGTGTGGCGAGAAAGGCTGCTGTCCCTTTGGTCCTGTCCTCGGCTCATGACTTCTTAAAGTCTAGAGACCTTAGGTTTAGGGCCTGAAGTGGTGGGAAGAGGGCCTTTCTGGGCTAGGCCTGGTCATCGAGGGGTTAACTAGCCAGCCCCACAGTTGCTGCCAGCCACCACCAATTATTAGTCTATAAACAGGCAGCTGCCAACTGTCTCTGGGGGTATGTGAGCAACCTAATGGGGCAGGGTTAGGGAAGGGGGTCTGTGAAACCTGTGTTTAAACCAAGCACCATGCCTTTCAGAGCCTGTTTAGGAGCCACAGACCCCTTCCCTGCCCTCTGTGCCAGGCTACTTGGCTTAGGGATCTCCAGCCCTAGGGTTTGAACCCTACCTGACCCTCTGCAGGATATGAAGCCCAGAGTTAGGCAAACTTGGCTTCAGACCCAGGCTGTGCCACTTTCTGGCTCTGCACTATTAAGGAAATCACTTCCTTTCTCTGAACCTCCTTCAGTAAAACAAACCCACCTTCTAGGTCTGCTGGGAGGAGTAAATAAAATGGTGGATTTGAGCTGCTTAGCACAGTCCCTGAAACCCAGGGGAGCTCAGTAAGATAACTGCTGAAGTCAGGAGCAACTCTTGTGCCAAGGACTTGATGGGACAGGCAGGCAGGAGTCAGGTGCTAAAGACCCAGCAGGGACCAAGGTCCCTCCCTCGGGGCATGTGTTCTGAGCCAAGCACCGTCTCTGTCTCATTATCTTTCCCTCCCTTCTTGCTCACAGACACTTCTGGCCTCTGGACATTAATTGGATTTTACTCTGCAGAACTCAGGGCTGAGCTATTCCTTTCTGGGCTCCCCCTACCCCAAACCAGGTACCAAGCTCTATGGAGTCTGTCAGGGGTCAAAGTGATGTCTGCAGCTGCAACAGCATCTGGCCCTTTAAGGAGGGAAGAAAACAATTATCTGGCCTGGGCATTGCATCAGCTGGAGCCTGGAGGGTCCCTGGGGAGCTTTGGGTGGGGGGGGGGGGGGGGTAGGCTGGTGGTTGATTTCATTAGTGCCATGCGAGAACTCTCACCTCAGGCTGCCCCACTCCCCAGCCACACGCAGCCTTCTCCCCCAGGCAGCAATAGCAGCTCCAGCTACATTGCCTTCCCACACCCCAGGAGCACTATCTGCGCACCCCCAGCCTATGTCATGGGCCCAGGCAGACGCTGGCACAGGGAACTGCCTCTCACACTGGCCTTTTGTTGACTGAGGGTGCATGGTGTGCCTCCTGGACCTGTACTTTGCTGATGATGGGGGTGTCTCCTCCATTAGTGTTTGGCTGACCTGGGGGGTATTTGTCCCACACTGGCATTTTGTTGACCCAGGGGAGGGGTGACACCTATGCTGGCCTATACACTGGTGTTTTGCTGACCCAACAGAGGAGCTGTACTGCCTGGGGCGTGTGTGAACTGAAGGCATGGGTGGGAAATAGTTGCTATCTGGCTGGAGGTGAGCTGGCTAGAAACAGAGAGTCACAGGGGCAGAGAGGACACTGAGTAGGCAGCAGACAGACCTGGGTTCAAATGCCGCATCCTCCACTTCCAGACTCTTTTACCATTCCAGGCAGGTGGTCTCAGACACCCTGGAAAACAGGAATGATTTTCACTCAGCTTGTCTCACTCCCATCTGGAAGGTTCTTGAGGGACGAAACATACTAACTGGATGTACTGCACCCAGGCCAGTGCTGGATACTGTACGATGATTCTCTTCCCTCTGCAAATTCAAGCTCCTCACACCTGGGACTCAAGATACCTGGACAAGAAAAGGATGGTTGGGGAGGAGGAGAGAGAGGGGCAGAGAGTGCAGGGGGATGCATTCAGATACCTGTTGTACCAAGTGCTGTGAGCCAGGAGCCCTGAGGGCCCAGAGCAGGTGATGTGTGTTGAAAGGAGGGATGCAGGGAACCTAGGGTGACAAGAAGTTGAGGAGGCAAAGAAGAGATGAGGAAAGGGAACAGTGTGTGCTGCAGCCTTGGTGATGGTGGGAACAGGGCTGGTGCGGTGGGGGAGGACAGCAGTGGAGAGAGGGCAGGGAGTGGGCAGGCGTTGGCACAACCACACCAGAACTCCCTGGTCTAGCAGGGCACTAAAGACTTGGGAATTATCCTGTGGCCAAGGGTAGCCCCTAAATCATTTTGAGCAGAGGAAGCAGGATCTGATTTCCAAAGAGTGTGGGCTGGAGTCTATGGCCCTCAGGCAAAACCTTCTCAAGAGTGACCTTTTGCCCTCCCCTACCCCTTTGCCTGTGCAGCAGCCCTGGTGCCCAGGGAGCTGGTTGTTTGCGTTGCTCCTCCCAGGAGGGAGGGGGCCAGTCTCAATCCCTCCAGGTCCCTCTCTCTGGGCCTGTTGACGAAGTTCATCCCTTGGGGTCAGGTTCTCCTGACCTCCCTGTGGAGCCAGAGGGCATCAGGCGTGGCTTTCGAGCCAGCTGGCCTATGTTCACATTCCAGCTGGAAGGCACACCTGTCTTTGAACCTCAGTGTCTTCGACTGGAAAATGGGATCGATGTTATTTCTCTATGGGAAGGATAAAACAAAATTCCAGATGGAAATCACCCTCTCTCAATTGTTGGCTGTCATTTTTACTCTGTTGCATGGAGGTTGACACCTACCTGGGCCAGGCCTAGCCCCAGGGCTGGCTGGGGGTGAGGGCAAGGTTGGTTGTATGAGTCTGGGGTTGCGCAGCACCCTCCACGAAGAAGGATCCCATGCTTGGTTTAATATTCTGCTGTCACCATCTTGAAATTCTTAATTTTGAACAAGGGGTGCTAAATTTTTATTTACCACTGGGCCCTGCCTACCATTTAAGCACACAAATTGGGGAGGGGTAGGAAGAGGTAGAGAGACACACAGACCTGCAAACAGTTCCTAAGTGGAGGAGATACAAGGTGGGGGACATGACAAACTGTCCCAAGGTGGATGGGATGTTAATAATAGTAACATTTATTTAGTGCTTACTGTGTACGAGGTTCTCTGCCAAGCACTCTGCATATTCATCTTCAAACAGCCCAATGACATAGGTACTACTATTATTTCCATTGCATAGATGAGGAAAGTGAGGTTAAGTATCCTGGCCAAAGTCACACAGCCATCAAGTGGCAGCGCTGGGATTCAAACCCAGGTTGTTAAACTGCAGAGCACGTGCCTAAACCAGGGAAGCCTTCAACTAGGAGGAGGGGCCCCTGAGCTGGGTCTGAAGGATAACTTGGAGTTTGCCAAGGAGGAAGGTGTTGTGGGGAAGGAAGGGCTGTCCCAGCTGGGAAGTGCCCGTGCCAAGGCGTCACACTTGGCCAGGAAAGGTGAGGCCAGAGCCACAGGCCTCCCAGGGCTGAGCGAATTACCCTTTGGGTTTCATGCTTCTGATTTTCCAAGCTCAGAGATCCTGGTCACTCTGCCCCAGGCCCTGCTGCTACCCTGATTTCTCAGAGCCACCCAGGCCTCAGTTCTCACTCTGCTGCACACTTCCCCACCACCAGGGAAACTCACTTACTAGTTTGACTGTTGCTTCTGGCCTCAAGACCTGTAGGTATAACTGCTTTAGATGTCTCTTAATAAACCTCAGGTCCAAGCCTAGGCCCCCAGCTCCGCCCACAGGCACCTGCTCTGCCTCCGATGTCCGCCGCTCTTCTCTGCCACCGCCATCCACCCACCTGCTCAAGCTGGAAAGCTGGAAGTTCTCCTGGACACCTCACCCCCACATCTCACAGCCAGTCCTCAGCAAGCCCTGTTTGTTCTCCTGACTATCTCATGAATCTGTCATCCCTCCCTCTGCCCACCGCCCGTTCTAGTCATTAGCCCTTTGCCCTTACCTGGACCACTGCGACAGCCTCCTACACAGATCTCGTTATGTCTCTGTTCTTGCTTCACTTCATTTTTCACACTGTGATCTTGTGAACATAAATGTTTATATCATTTCTGTGCTTAAGACCCTTCCAAGACTTCCTGGAAAAAAAGCCAAACTCTGACGTCATCTACAAGGCCCTGTGTGATCTGGTCCTTGCCCATCTTTTTGTGTCATCTGGCACCATTCTCCCTCCCCCTCAGCTGCAGGACTTCAAACCCGTTCCCTCGGCCTGAAATATAATCCTCCTCCTGGTGCCCTGTGAACTCCTACTTATCCTGTGCGCAGATACCAGCTCAAACCTCATTTCCACAGCAAAGCCTAAAAACCCGAAACTAAACACCACCGCCCCCATAGGACCTTGTACTTCTTCGTGATACTCATCACACTTGAATTGCTTTTTCCTCGTCTCTTTCTTGCTCGACTATAAACTCTGTGGGGTCAGGAATCCTGAGTTGCCTAGCCCCAGCACACAGTAGGTACACAGTGAGTTGTTCAGTGAATGAAAGAATAGATGAATCATTGCTTAGCATCCTCACTGGCCTCCCTGCGTCCCTCTCTGCCTGCCTTCTCCAGTCCTTTTTCATTGTGGCCCCAGAGCCATTTTTCTAAAACACAGAACTGACCCTGTCACCCCCTGCTACTTAAAATACTTCAGTAGCTCCCCATTGCTGACAGGGACGGCTTCAGTTTCTCAGAGTGGTATTCAAAGCCCTTTGTGATCTGCGTGACTGCCTCTCCGGGCTCCTCTCCCCTGCCCCCCTCCCCCCGCACTTTGAACTCCTGGCGGTTCCTCTAACGTGTCAGGCTGTTCTGGGCCTCTGGGCCTCAGCACTTGCTGTTCCTTCTGCCTGTAATGCCTCCCCACCCCTGCTTTGTCTCCCTAGAAAGTCCTTTCTTCTTCAAAATCAGCTTGGCTGCCACCTTTGCTGTGAAGCCTCTGAGGAGCCCTCCTGGCCCCTGCCTGGGCTGACTTAGCTCACCTCCCTCAGCCACATCTGCAGCGAGTCCACATCTCTTCCTCCTTGTCTCCTGTTAAACTGAGCTCCTCTGGTGCAGGCACAGTGATTGTTTTCTTCAGGATTGTTCATCTTCGAGCCTCCAGCTCTCAACTTCTTCCTGTCTTAGGTCTTTGCTTGTATATGGAAACCCACTCGAGCCAGCTTCAGTAATACGGAAGGGTTTAGTGCAAGGACATAAGGGATTCCTGGAGACTGACGGGCAGAAAATGCCCTAGCCTCTGGGAAGTGGGATCTGAAGGCCAGGAGAAGTTGAAGCAACCTTACTGGCCATTTTTACCTCTCCGTCTCTCAGACTAGGCTTTTTCTGTTTTTCCAGATGCTGGGCCACCTATAGTTCCTATATATAGTCCCTCAATTCCAGCCACATCCAGAGATAAAACCCAGGGCTTAACAGGTCCAAGCCCAAACTTCCAGAAGATCTGATTGGCTCTGAGTGGGTCAGGTGCCTATCCTGGTCCAATCAACTGCAGCCTGCTGGGAATGGTCACAAATCAGACATGCAAAGAGCCTTTCTCCAAGGCTCTTGACCTCCTTGGAGAAAGCAGGGCTCTTGGTTATCAGGGAAAGCAGTTCAGAAGACATCTGCTAAAACCCTTAGAGTGCTGGGGTGGGGTGGCCTCCAACCTTCCATCTGGACAGCACCTGGGGGAAAGAGACTGGGCATTGTGACTTGAAAGCGAGTCTAGTTGGGGCAGCAGTGCCCACCCAGGGCAGGCTCTGAAGAATACGTCAAAAGTCATTCAGAGGCCTGATCAGAGAGATGGGGAGATGAGACTTTGAATTTTGGAGAGGGAGGAGGAGGGCATGAACAGTCAGAACAGTTCTCCCGACCAAAGGCATATTTATCCTCTAAGACTTAAATCATTTCCTTTCCTCAGTGGAGAACCATGCCTTGCCTACTCCCTCTGCCCCCAATGCCTTATTTCTTATCTGCATTAATTTTGTTCTTTGTACTTCCCTAGC